TAGGAGAGGGAAGGACTGTGTGCTCAAATTGTGCTCTGAAAGAAACATACTTTGTCTAGTCACAACTTGTTGCTATCCGACCTTTTTCTGACAAGGTAGTTTGAACAAAGCACCAGTACACAATCAACCTAAGATATGGGAGTAACGCTGCTAAGCACGACATTACACAGTTCAATTAACATCAAAATGGATCTTGGAGAAAAATATGAAACAGTGTGGAAGAGATTCATACGGTTCGGGATACTGTCTAGTGGCATGCTCTTGCGAACATGATAAATCTTCAAGTTCCCTGTAACATGCGAAATGTCTTGACTAGATCAGGAACAATCAACTTCTCAGAGTGTGTGGCACATAAGGTTAGTGAGACGGTCTGCTGAACCAAGAAACAGAACTGTATCCTCACTTCAGCCATTCCTGTGTATCACAGGCCAATAAAACTCACCATCTCGAAGAGCAGCCTGACTAGTTTCTCTGACTCGCCCCGATACTTGGAAGTGAGGGTGGAAGAAGAAACGTTGAAGAAAGTTGTGCAACATTCAGTGGCCACAGCCTTGGCTAACATGGTCTTTCCTGTTCCTGGGGGACCCACCATCAGCACTCCTTTCCACGGCCGTCGAATGCCCTGTATATAATCAATAATATTGTTGCACAGCACGAGTGTGAATATGGATAATGTTTTGGAGAACTGCATTTATTCACGATTTACAGGTTGTAACTACAAATAATGAACGCACTATCACTGATTTCAACACTTTACAAATCACTACATACTAAGTCTCCTCCAGCCTGCAGTGTGTTCACTAGATGTTTTCCTGGTAACAGGTTTTAACACTGTAAGCTTATGTCCTTACCATCTGGCACATATCTAAACTTTAAACTTGTAGCGGACCATAGAAAACACCACTTCCAACAGTTCCTTTGTCGCTGCATGTTGATTTGTTGCCATGGGAACCTCTTTGCTTGTGATCATTCCCTTGAATGGATCTACATGCTACAATATTCATCTTCCTTGAGATCAGATTACCATGACATAAAAATGTGTGAATAAAAGGTCCAAACTCACACCCACAGCACTTTTCTGCTCGCTGCAGCATTACAAACCATGGTACCAAGAGCACACAACACACTGCTACAATCAGGTACACACTCCTATACAAAACACTCAAATAATGATATTACCCTAAAGTAATCTGGCATCCACATAGGAAGGACAACAGCCTCCTCAAGCAACCTCTTGGCTTCATGCAAATCTGCGATATCATCCCAATGGATGTTAGGATTCTTCCGGACTATATCTCTCTCTGTAAATAAAAGATCAGATTTGGGGTTCTTACAGTGGTGATTACAAATAACCTGGCCTTCTGGGTTGCAGCACCATGTAGTTCAGAGAGAGATCTGCTTGCTGTCTGCTTCCACTGGTTGCTTGGTTGACTTATTCTTTGACCATGAATATGAAATGTTAACTCTCCTACATGGCATTACAACCCACAAGACCATACTCTCCAAAGTTCATATGTATTTGGTAGAAGAAACTCTGAAACCTATAAATAAATTCACTGTGAGTGATTTCGTCTTGAGAATACAGCAGTATTCAACTGATAAAGAGATTCCTCACTTTTGAGGAACCTGAAGGTTCATCACTATGTTCATGGCAGCATACCACTGGGCAATGCCCTTAGCCAGCTGAATCCAGTCCATGGTTTCACACCCCAATTCTTTAAGGTCCTCACAGTACACTCCTACAAGCAGACCTACATGGTTAGCTGAAGTGTAAGCCCCTTAAATATATAAGAGCAGAAAATGTTTTGAACAAAAGTTTTGGAGAAAAATTAATCGCATTTATGTTTAATACTGCCGTCTCTGTGGCCTAGTGGTCAGAGTCCCTGGCTACAGATCTAGAGGTCCCAGGTTCAGATTTTCTGATAAGTAGTGGGTCTGAGACAGGGTCCACTCAGCTTCGTGAGGATAACTGAGGAGCTACTTGAATGGAAAAGTATTGGCTCCGGTCTAGAAAACCGAGATTAATGACTGTTGGCACTAACTTTGCCAACAAGCGACGGTCGCTCGGTCGGTATAGTTCTCTTGCTGACTAAAAGCCACGGAGTTTTAGTTTTTTATGGCTAAGTGTTATGGTTTTTGAGAAAAGGAAACAGAAGTGAACACACCAGAACTTATAAGCTGTGCAATCATTCCAGTTTTAAGTTACTGAAACCAGGATGCTTTCTCTGGACACTTACCTAACATGTCTATCAGATCACGATCGTACCAAGAACCTTCGAACCTCTTCTCCGCTTCTTCAAATTCTTCTTTCTCTTTGTCACTTTTTTCCTAAAAATTGTATGCCTATGACATCCATTTATTTAAACTCTATGACAGTAAGATATAATGGCACCCTTCAAGGCAGAGTTTCCAAAATTTATGGCCTGCAGACTACTGGTGGTTCATGAATAAATTTCAAGTGGTCTGCCTCCTCTTCAAGATCATGGTCTTTTATTTATGCACAAAAAACATGTAAAGGCTTTATATGGCTGTGCCATAGCTGAAGCGGTTAGTCGCTGGCTTCCCACCATGGCGGCCCGGGTTCGATCCAAGGTCTGGTCAAGTGGGATTTGTGGTGGACAAAATTTCGTTCGGGTAGGTTTTCTCCGAGTACTTCGGTTTCCCCTGCCAATCTTCATTCCACCAATTGCTTCACAATCATCCTCCTCTATCATCTGAGGTTGGTACAATAGGCCAGAAGTGGCCGCAGTACAAGGGATTTAGTCCCACCCTACTAGTAATAAAAAAGAAAAAGTCTTTATATTATTTTATTTTAAAAGTCATAGAGGTGTAACTACTGACAAAATCTCACTCTCATTCCATTAAAAATTCTTGATATTTAAATTAATAGTAGGTGTCTGCCATAGAAAATCTAAGCAGTAAGTGATCTGTGGCCCCCCCCCAAAAGTTTGGATACCCCTGCTTTACAGCACGGTGGTAACTATACATATACCTGCTATAACAGTTTATGGGATTTACATAATTCTTACTATAAACAGTGATTTTTTCTCAAAAGAGCATTAACTGGCAAGCAGTGTGCCCTCCTGTGAGATACTAACTAAATTTTTAAATATTACTTACACCATATTGAAGTGTCAAAGGGTTAAATGTACCTTCATTTAAAGTGTTCCTTATAATAGCATTAAATTGTGGTTCCAAATTAACTATCTATGTGTTAAAATTTCATCGAAAAGACTGGATGCATTTGGAAGATTTGAGGTACCCACAATGGCTGTGCACATCACCCTCTTCCAGATATGACACCATGTAGTCTGGTAGATACTTACCAACATTTGAGAGAAACCTGTTGCATCTTCATGACAGAAGAGTACCCTGTGGTCTCACAGTTCATTACCAGTGTTTCAGAGGAACCTGCTGCCTCCATTATCAGGGAAGTAAGTACTCTGAAGATGAAGGCAGCAGGTTTCTCCAAAATTCTGGCAAAAATCTACCAAACTGGAAGACATCACATCCCAAAAGATTGTGCTTTTCATGGTTGCGCCAATTAGCATCAAAATGTCAGTATTTCAGCCAAACTTCATAGAAACAACAAAGTCATGAGAAGCTAACAGTTGCTATGTTGATCAAGAAATTTTACGTCCTTCTGAGAATGTGACAATGGCACATCGTGGGACCATATCCTGATCAAGCTGAATCTAGTCCACACCCTTTCATCCTATCTCTCCATCCACAGATTCAAATGCCCCCACCTCCTTGCAACTCACCTACATAGCCTTTCTGCAAACTCATACTGCTCACTGCAACCCTGAAATGGAGACAGTATGTTTCCCCAACATGTTGGTACCCACCTAGCTGACTATAAAGCTGAAGCACCCAGAAGACCACAATCTGAGCAATAAATGTGATAAGCAACCCCAGGACTATGCAGAACCACGGTGCAGAAGACTGTAATCAGAACAGTCTCCAAACTTTTACCTTGTTATCTTCCTTCTTGTCCTCTTTCTTCATAGGTTTGGACTTCTCATCCTTCTTGGCGGCCCTTGGATCAGGTCTCTTTCCCGTGACGGCTGTTCTCTGAGATCGTGCATTTGGTTTAGCAATTTCATTCTTACTTGCACGTGGACTTCGCAGAGTCTTGATCTGGGGTACTGGCCTGAAACATACCAAACAATTAGCTATAACCTGACTAACATCATAGACCAGAAAACATACGAAGCAACCAGATATTCTGGATGTCCCTACCTATGAACTAACTAAGAGTTCAGAAGACACTATTGGACAAACAGGCCTCGAAGAGTTCAACAAGTAACACAACTCTCTGACTGCCTGATGACAATGATGATGATAATAATAATAGTAATGAATAAAAAAATATGGTAGCCTAGTAACCAGTTATAAACAAAAAATTGTTGCTGGTTATGAATTTTTGTAACAGTTCACAGGAAAAAATGAGGAATTAGGCTCCAATTGGAGCAAAAAAAGTTATAAAATATCAACTTTAAAAAGATATTTAGGAAGATCTCTACAGATATGGAGTTCTGTTTTACTATTTGTTGTCTACCTTGATATTAGTCACCTGCCACATAACAGGGAACTGAACAATACCTGGCAACAAACCATACAGACATACTTGTGCTCAACTGGTGTTGGAGGTGGCCAGTCATCTGGGTCCCTATCTGGTGGCGGTAGCCATACATCTGGAGCCCTAGGAGGGCCACCACACCATGTAGTAGGATCACGTGTGGGCTCTTCAAATGACAGACTGCGCAATGCCGGACCTGCAAATAACATTCACGTCGTGATGCATATCATTCTGGTATGATAAACACTAATGTTGGGAACATACAGACAGTTGCCAACCAGCTCACGAGTAATCACATATCCTAGCAAGCTTTTTGGTTTCTCACTAAGTAACCGATATGTATCAGAACTATACTTCTGATGAAATGAAGGGAAAATTAAATTGACAGAGATGACTTCTGTGCAATTCAAGATTGTTTTATCTTCTTGTCTCTCATCATGAAATCTAAAAATTACAATATATACTTTATTCTGTCTGTAGTTTTATGTGGGGAGAACTGGGATAACGCAGTCAGTATGGCAACTGGCTACAGGCTGGACTGAAGGTCAGAGTTTGAGTCCCAGTAGGGTCAAGAATTTTCTCTTCTCCAAACTGTCCAGACCAGTTCTGGGGCCCACTCAGCCTCCTATCCAATGGGTACCTGAAGCTCGTTACCCGGGGGTAAAGTAGCAGGGACGTGAAGCTGACCACTCACCTCCAGCTAGTGCCAAGGTCAAGAGAATGTGGGTCTATACATCCAGTCCCCCACACGCCTTCATGGCGTAGTGCTTAGTTAGTTAAGTGCACAGAACCTTTTGTTTTATATGGGTGCAAAACCTGGTCTCTTGCCACAAATGCAGAAGACAAATATTTCTGGAATCAAAGTATGGAGAAAAAATAAACAAAGCTAACAAATGTTGGATTTCTTCCCCTGGAGCTGAGAGTGAAGAGTATACTCTTCTGAGTTGAAATACTGCATAGTTCTGTGTTACTGTGCCCTTCAAACCTAACAAAGATGAACTCATAGATGGAGCAAATTACATAATGAGATTCAAAATTTTACTAGCAATTATCATCTAGGAATAGGGGATTTTAAATCCCCCCAGTACTACAGAGTTGGTAACCAAATTTCAAAATTGGGGAACTGTATTAGTATTACACAAATGCATGCTTTGTCAGCTACCCTATGCAACATTAAGGCACCTCAACATGTGGCAAATAAAAGCTAACATTACTGACACCACTGAAGGAAGAAAGATGAGTTGGGTGACAGATTAAGGAGCATGACAAATAAGGAAATGCATATATAAAACATTAGTTGGAACGTGCCAAGAAGACAGAAGCAAATAGTAAAAGTAATATTAACCTGAGTTTTGGAAGAAAGGAATCTGAAGATGTGAACTGAACTTAACCGTAAGGCAACCGCAGGTGTGACACAATGTTGTCTTGTAGAAGTTTCCAGTTGTTTCTGAGGAATGTACTGCCTCCATCTCAAATGTCAATGGGTAGGAAAAGCAGTGAATAAAGTGGTACAGAGAAATACTGGGACAGGAGCCCTGAGTGAACTAATAGAAGCACATGGCTGACCGCTAAGGAAGACTTCATTGCATACAGCACAAATGGAAGTTTCAAATCATATGTAAATGTGTATTATGTACGGATGACAAACACTATGTTTCAGAAGCTGGATCTGCTTCCATTCTCAGTTAAGGAGGCTGAAGACACCTACTCTCCTGGGTCCATTAG